ATATTTGACGGGGACAATTTGCGAATTGTAGTTTGGATTCATCAAATCTCCAGTGTGACTTGTCTTAAAACCTAGGTGAGTTTGACAGAGTGATCGAAATGAGTGTCAATGCCGCTAAATGAAGTAGACAGCAAACATTACCGCTTGAGGTAAGTACGATGTCTACTGGCTTGGATCTAATATAATCTGCAGAACTAAACTTTCCGTCAGGAGGGTAACACACTTGATGTCTTCTTCATTTTCTTTAAACCGCAATGTTCTGCAGTGCCGCATGGCAAATGACACTCCATGCAACGCACACTTAGAAGTGTGTGCCGCTGCCATTTCAAGGATACTGCTGTAGGAGGGATTGGTCTGTCTTTTGACACATAAAATGATAATTGCCAGGGACAGAGCAGAGACCCATTTAAATCAACACAAAGTCCCTACACACTCTAAGTCGTGCATTGTAAGACTTAAAAACCTATCCGGAATTGTCTTGGGTAACTGCCGTGTTGGGTTAGGTTAATGTAACATTCAGTGAAAGGACTGTAATGGTGCATAAACATAATCCACTTATCTAGCAGGTTAATCAGTTTTTCCTTGCACTTCGCCAGCGGAATACGAGACAGCATTGAATAACTTCAAGAGCAATAGCGTGAAGACGATAACACCAGTTTAACTTCTACATTTTTTTTTCTCAGTGTCTCCTTTTAGCTACTAAAATATTTCTTACTTGTGTCATAAATTGCGCATGATCAGCAGAACACCTCGACCTCAGAAGTACTGAAGAGGTGAAGCAGGCGTACCCACAGTGGTATTCATTGAACCGCGACAATCACCATTACTGTGATACAACCGTAACCGCTGCATGATGGCTTTGGACCTTTCTTCTTTAATGCGCTTAATTTTGAACTCATCTGATACACATTCATTTCAAAGCCAGTTGTGCTCGAGTTGAAGAGGGTCACTACCGTCTCATTAATTCCACATTGACGCGACGACAATGAGTTCTACAAACGAAACACCTTATTAATTAGAAGCCGAACAGCCTCTGATAGGCCCCAATATTTCGAATGAGAAGAATGAATGATGGCAACTGTGTCTTCACAACTCATCTTCCACGAACCAGACAGCGTGGCATTGCTCTACTTTACGTCAAATCTAGCATGTGATAACACTATGTTCTTGCACAAAATCATCCAGGCATCTCAGTGAACTGGCAAGAAATTAAAAAGATTTTATGCAATCTCCATTCATCGAGGGATCGCCTCCTTATTTTCCTGCCCTTCTGTTTGCAATTAAGTACAAAGACACTTTACTGCAACCTTAAAATACACTAATAATTGCAATGTCGTACAATCGTGGAATACTTAAGCACTGATTATACAAATTGCCTACCGCAACTACTGTAATTTGATTGTAAAAAGCCGACATTAGCTCAGCCCTTCTTAATGAGATGGGTACATTTAAGCGACCAAATCCTGTGATCTAGTTTTTCAGCCAAGAAAGAATGCGGGTGCATTATTTACACATACAGTAGTGTTGCAGACGGTAGCAATGGTCTATTTGTTTTCCAACCTAAAACATTGGGTAGTTTATCCTGTCAGCTTTCAATAGTGGGGAAGTGCTCCATCGAAGTGTCAAATTTTGACCAACATAACGGTAGGTGTAGTCTGGCATACGTTTAACTTACATAAGTATGCGTGCAGAACTGCCTCGTGCCACGTGTATTCACGGTTCCGAATTTGAGCTTCTGATCTTCACACTTTCACAGATATCGAGATGAAGAGGGTTTTTCAGCAAGAGGAACAGCCTTTGGGAAATGTCTCACCTTCACGCTCTACTTTATTTCATTCACTGCAAAATTATGATTGGAATAATTTGTTGACTGCAATTGGTTTGGAGACCAATCCCCTTAAAATGGCACTTATAACCTAGTTTTGTGGCTTCAATAATAACATTTCCTACCGGTGAAGCCGATGACATGCTTCTTTCCTTCTTTAGCTAGTCTATTTTAACTGGTACGCAGTCCTTACAAATTCTTGCTATAACCCTTTGTTGATTTCAGAACCATGGGATTGTTGTAGGACATCAGGTCGGTATGTGCCACCACCACGTTATTAGTAAATGGCATCTTGTCTTTGGCTTATCTAGAATGCTATAATCGATTATGGTATCCACTGTCTGTCCTAATGGCAATATAAACACCCAGAAGTCCATGCTACTTACGTGAATAAAGTAGGCCATCTACGCCAACTTGAATAACTACTTTAGTGCATGCAATTTGAAGTTAATACCACGGGCATGTCATGGTGATCAGCAGCTACTCCTTTGAAGCTAGACACGTTCTCCCACCAATCCCTTATGTGGTGCAAAAAAATAAATGCGAGAGTCGATTTTGACATTAGGAATTCCACCTTTCCATTCATTTCAAACTTCCATCTGTGGAGAAGCATGTGAGCAATCGCCTAGTTATAACTGAGCCATTGTTCTGGTTATTTCAACTGATGTAGTAAATATTCTAATGCAGCTTAACGATGTTATCCCATAATCCCAGTATTATTCGTTGTAAAGGTGGAAAACGACAAAATGTACTGACGAAATGGGAGGAAATAAAGACATTACACTTGAGAGTGGTACGAAAAAATATGTAAGAACAAGTAAGTAATAAAGTTGGTAGATGAGTAGATCGGAGTACATAATTTGGAATGCATGGACTAAAGACTAAATAATAGGAATGAATTGGCATGCCATTACAAGACCTTTGTTCTATCTTATACTCTGTAACATTTTCCCATCATTTAGTCGTTTGGTCTGCATTGTAATTTGATATTTTATGTTTTAGGTGATCGTACGTTTTTGGCGGTTTCGTATTTAGGCATTGTTTGATCTTTAGCTTTTATGTGTTTGGCTATTAGAACATTCTAATCTTACTTAATGAGTAAAGAGGCAATATTGTACATGCGAAGAATCCTCAACATCACTTAGGGGTAAATATTGTGAGGAGGTAAAGGAAGGCGTGCTTTCATTAAATTTTATGCTAAATTCGGTAAATGAGAGCGAAAACCATCTATTCTGTGTTTTTGATGACATGTTGGAGGAAAGTTAGTGAAATGGTTATTAAAGGCTTGTGTAAATGACTGATGGACAAGTTGGCAATATATTCTTCTTTGTAAAAAGCAAAAATTATTTTTTTTTAAATATGCATTGCAACATCAGAAAACTCGTAACTCATGCCTTATCTCATTCCTCAAATTCCATTAATGTATCCATGTATACAAGCAAATACGGTAACTTCGTGTCATCATGATACCGGCTTGGTCACTGAGTGTGCCAGGGTAAGTAAATGCCATCACTGAATTCCTCTATTCATTTCACCGAAATGCAATCGCTATTTATCAGTATTATTGCTCAATGCACACCGTTTGGCTATTCGGCACACTCATGAAAAGTTATAGAATGCTAAATAACAGTTTCGGACAACAATAGGTAACGTACAAACGATGATTAGTAGAAGCTGTGATAGTTGAGTAACCGTCAGTCATCAATTGAGACAACACTATAGCGGTTTAGCACGGCGCAATCTTATGCCATCCTCAAGATGACGTAAGGAGAAAGGGAGTAAAGATGAAAAGTATGCGTCAGTAGACAGTCCCTAGCTGTTGAGTTCCATGCTCCTGTTTCTCCCTTCTGTTCCGTCCTTCCTTTATACTGACTACAATGCCCCCGCGCTTTCGCCAACTAATACATACTGATCATGAGTAACAGCAAAATTTTAAACCACTCAGAGATGTACGCATCATCTTATTAGCTAGATCTACTAAGACCAAAGAAGTTGTAACTCAAAAGTAGCCCACATTTGCATGGTGGTAGACAAGTTGTGGCGGTGATGTTGCTAACGTCTGTTTGCATCCATTTTAATGAGAAAGCTTGTAACAGACTGATCCACAAGCAGTTGAATATGCAATCAAATTGTGAAATGTTTTGCCATGAGATGTGAAAAAGCTCGAGATGATTTAAAAGGTGATAAGAACTGACATGAGTACAAATTAGTTCGAAACTGGTGGGTATTACAGTAGTTGCAGCTGCGCCAGTAGCAAATGCTTTCAGTGGCGACGTCGGCTTGATCTCGTCTGAATTACGATGGGTAAATTGCTACACAAAATATGTGCAAACTGTGACACAAGTACCAAATAATGTACTCAAGCTTTACTAACAAAAGAAGAACACAAATATGTCAGGTTTTGGGTTAATTTTAACAAACTTATATTTGCTAGTAGAGGCTATTAAACTACTTTGTTTTTCATTCCTGTGTTTTTTGGGCTTTTTGAATCACTTAAGTTGACACTCGCAAAAGATGTAGCGAGAAACCCTATCCTGCTTATTCCTTGATCTCAATCCGGCCGATACTGGTAAATTTACCGAAATCAGTGTGTAAAGGTTAAAATATCCCATCTAGTCAGTTGTACGGCATGTGTGGTCACTGTGACGTATCCACGTGTGTGATTTGTGGAATCTTTGGTAGGTGTAATTCAGGTGAAGGATAATCACACTATGTGCATCGGTATGCGATGGCAATGGTAAGG